TTTTAGTTGAATGATACTTAGACTTTGGGTCTAAAAAGGAGATGTCCAACATATAGGTTTTAGGCTAAACGTTGGAGGATTCTCCATATCTTATGGAACTAGGAAAAATGAATGAAACTCATAGCTTGGTGGCTAAGAGTTGGAGATTTCTCTAAAGCTTTTGGAGCCCATAGAGAAGAGGGGTGACTTGTAGCTTTGAGGATACAAATCAAAAGGTCTCTTTGAAATTTTTTTTTTATTCAAAGGGAGGGATATATTTGCTTAATTTGGACTAGGCAAATGAAAGATTAGGTCACCGATTGATTTTGGCTCAAAAGGTGAGGAAGATTGATTTGCAACTGGGGTTGCAAATCAATAAGAGTTATGATTGAATTTTATGTTCACTAATGAAAAATTGGTTAGCTGAATATGGATAAAGCAAACATAAGAAGATGATATATAAGCTTGATTACACATCCTGAAGGATTCTTTGGACTTTTGGGTGTCCAAAGAAAAGAATTATTCATCCAACTTGGGTAGGAAGAACAAGAGGGAATATATGATTTATATTCCCATGCTTGAGGTAGAAATATTTGTTTATTTTGGGTTCAACCGTTCAACAAATAAATGATTTGGCAAACATAAGAAGATGATATATAAGTTTATCTACACATCCTGAAGGATTCTTTGGACTTTTGGGTGTCCAAAGAAAAGAATTATTCATCCAACTTGGGTAGGAAGAACAAGAGGGAATATATGATTTATATTCCCATGCTTGAGGTAGAAATATTTGTTTATTTTGGGTTCAACAAATAAATGATTTGGTGCAGATTTGATTTACTCAATATGGGTTGAGTGAATGAGAGTTTCATAAAACTTTTGAGTTATAAAAGAGAAATTTCTCGATAATTTTAGCTTGTATAAAAGAAGAGATATATGCAATTTAGAGATTTCAAACTCATGAAGGATCTTTGAACATTATGGTGTGAAACAAAAAGTATATACTCTCCTAATTTGGGTTAAAGAGAATGATGGAATTTTCTACAACTTCTGAGTTGTAAGAAGAACAATATCTCTACAATTGTGGCTTGTAGAAAAGAGAGAAGAAAATGCAACTTATGAGTTGCAAATTCATGGATGAGTTGCAAATTCATGGGATGCCCCTTGAGTATTGAATGTTAAAGGGAGATCATTATCTACCCAACTTGTGTTGGGCAAATATGAGAAGGAGATATGTAGATTTGGTGATGAGGACATCAGCAAAAGATTCCAGCTCGTCTATCACAAGAGACATCGCATATCGACGGCCACGATTAGGAGCATCTATTTATGAGTTATTTTATGTTATTGTATTAGTATTATTATCATTATGTGTTTTAGTTGACCTTTGTACCCCTATGAGGGAGTTAGTGAGTTGTAGCCCGAAGTGCATATTTGTCTTTGAGTTTTCTTCGTTGTTGAGGCCTATATATAGAGGCCCAAGACTTTGCATTGGTTTTGATGATTGCTTAATAAAATTTCTGATTTTCTTCTCTCGAGCTTGTGAGTTCTTGAGTGGTGAAATCCCAATGTGTGGGCAAAGTAATACCCACCAATGGCGAAGGTGCTCCGGGCTTGTAGTCAGACTTTCCCCTCACTTCAAGCCGTCGGCCATCCCCTCTCCCTTGTGCCAAGCTTCCGGCTATCCCCCTCCCCACTACCGGCCTTCTCTCCCCCACCACCCCCTTCGTTCTCCCGTTAACTGACCCCCTCCTCCACTCCAAGCAGCCAGAAAGCCCACCCCACCAGTCCAGCCACCGGCCTCCACCCTCCAAACGCCGATTCCCCTCCCTAAACCTCCCCTAGCCGCCGGCCTACCTTGCCCAAAAAGTTTGAATTTTAAAATATCAATTACTTTAATTTCCTTCCTAACATAACCCATAGCTATTTCAGAAAGTATCCTTATTTGAATTCAATTAAATATTTGAATTTGAAATACTTTCTTATTGTTAAAACCCAATTAGGAAGTCTCCCTAAATAAATCAAATCTGAAATTAAAATTTAGATTTGATTCCAATCAATAATTAACTTCTTTGGACCCACATACATTGAACCTAGACATCTATTTCCCCTCCCCAAATGGGCCGACCCCTTACCCTTTTTCCCTCCTCAATCAATTCCCTAATTCAAATTAAATGCTCCCTAAACCCTCCTAAACCGTCGGCCCCCCTTGAACTATTTTTGGGAATAGTTTGGGAGTTTAAATCACCCCCTTTTCTCTCTTTGAAAAATTCTACAATAAATTTCAGACTTTTTAAAACCTCTTCCCCACCTCCCTAGCCGCCCCTTCCCTTTCCCCTCTACCCGTGAAACCCCACCACTAGCTCCTCCCCTCCCTTCTCCTTTTACTAAACGCTGGTTCCTCCAAGGTTCACAACAAAGAAGACTCCCATGTTCATGGATGACTGATCCTGAAGTCGACCACGAATTTGCGTACAATTCTCAAGGACAAATCGACATCCTTCAATCGCCCTTCTTTGACCCCGACTAGGAGTTTGAAGATTTTGTTGAAACTACGTAGATCGCATACTATTTCATCTCAACAAGGCAATCGACGAACAAAGACCATCCGAACAGTGGCAACTCGTCGGATTTCCACCTCTGCCTCCTTCTCTGGCTACTCTCTCGTGGATCAAGACCATCATGTCATAACCCTCTTAGCGGCATCGTTTGGTTTGCTGAAGATCTTTCTCCGCTAGAACCCCTCATACAGCGTGAGCGATAAAGGGAAACTCGAGGTGAAAGCTATTGATATTAACCTGTGCATTATTATTACAATACATCTAGCTTTATTGTATTTTTTTAATATTGTTTTAAATTGATCTGTTCTCCTAAAATTGTAAATACATGCCAGAGCAAAACCTTAACAAATAATTCTTAAAATTATTTCTTGTGATTCATTAATCTTAAAATAGCAAGCTTACAATAATTTTATTATTTCATTGCAATTCATGTTTGTTTCGCATCATTTGGACTACAAGTCACCATGGATTCTCAATGAACTTTTGGGTGTTCAAAGAGAGGAATTCGCCCTTCTAAATTGTGTTGGAAGGATGAAGTGGAGATTGGACTTTGATTCTTGTGCTTGGGAAGAAATTACTTGTTGATTTTGGCTCCATAAGTAAATTAACTTGGGTGTATGTTTGATTCACTCAACATGGGTCAAGTGAATGTAGGAATTTCCTACAACTCTTGAGTTGTAGGAAGAGGGACTTCACTACAATTTTGGTTTGTATAAAAGAAAGGAGAAAATGCAACTTGTGGGTTGCAGATTCATGAATATCCCTTGAACATTTGTTGTTCAAAGGAAGGTATACACTCTCCTAATTTTGGCTTAGGAGAATGAGAGGATTTCTACAATCTTTGAACTATAGAAAGAAGGAATCAATATGCAATTTATGGATTGCAAGTTGGGGATAATCCTTGAACATTTGATGTTCAAAGAGGGATCATCATTCACTTAATTTAGGTTAAGTGAATATGGGAAGAATACTAGGATTTGAGCCCTAAGCTTAAACTGAATGCTTATTTGTTAACTTCACGTTCAAAAAAATAAAGTGAAAGAACTTAGAATGGGGTTCCATGTTCAAGAATCTTGTGCAATGTTGTTGTTGAAGTTTTGGAGGACTTCAAGCTATCATGCAAAGAGGAGGGATATCCATTTGTTGATTTTGTGTTTCAACAAATGGAGAAGGAAGCTTAAAATTTAGCTATAAGCTCCAAAATCTCCATACAATGATATTCTTGAAGCTTTAGGAGACTTCGGACCATCATGCATGAAGGGGGAAATGATGGTTGTTTGTTGATTTTATGTTTCCAATAAACAAAGGATTGGAGAACTTGGAACTTGGAAGTTTTGGAGGACTCTAAAATTCTTAAAAGAAAATTTTCATGTTAATCAGTCAAACTCATATCAAAGTTAAGATAAAAATTAATATATACATTCTATAATTTATAAAAGTCTTTTATGTACTTATGTTTATGAATTGATCATATTCACCTTAATAAATAAGGCAAATACATTCAAAAACTTTTGGCTCATTTACTCAGTAATTTATGAAAGGCTTTTACATACTACCATGCTCAGTGAGATTCTGCTGTAAAAGATAAACAAGGTAAACAGATACAAAAACTTTTTGCACATTAACTTAATAGGTGAGTTGAACAACATTAATCTCTCATTTACTCAACAAGTGAGATAATTCAAACATGGCTCACGTTTACAATCCTAGATCTCAAATATTAAGTAAATGAGCCAAAAGTTTTTGTACGTGTTTGGCTCATTTATTTGTTGAGTTGAATACAAGATGTTCACTAACATGTTACATGATAGTATGAGAAAGTCTTATTTTATTATATATATATATATATATATATTAAAGTAAGAGATTGGGTATGTAAACAACAGCCAAGTTTTAAATATCTCATATGTTAAGTAAACCAGAAATTAGTGCTGGTCAACTCACAAATTAAGTAAATGAGCGAAAAGTTTTTGTATATGTTTGGCTCGTTTATTTATTGAGGAGAATACGAGCTAAACACGTACATGACATTATGTGAAAGTCATTTGTAAATTAAAGAATATATATCTTAATTTTTATCTTAGCTTTAATATGATTTTGACGGGTTAATTTACTTCTTGAAACTTTTCTTTTCAGAATTCTATATTTAAGTTTTTAAGAAGCTGAACCAAAACCAACACTAATCTCCCGTTCAGTTAATAGGTGAGTTGAAAAATACTAATCTCTAATTTATATATATATGTGTGTGTGTGAATCCACCTCCCAAATTATCTAAATTTAGCTTCAACAAAATTCACAACAAGAATAAGCAAAAAAATATAGCCATATAATAATCATTAAACGACATTACACCCAACATTTGACACACCCACATAACATCCAATAATTTACATTAAAAGAACTAAAAATTATAAAAATAAGCATAAACAAAGATGCATAAAGAGAAACAACAAGACTTACCCCTTGTTTTCCAGGTATTGTACAATGCCACACCATAATATTGACAGTACCATCCGCTAATGTTTCTGGTTTGGCCACGAAACCCTAACAAGGTGTCAAGAAACAAATAATTATTTATTTACATTAGTTCCCTTAGCACATGTACTTACCCAAAAAAAATGTGAGAAGTAATGATATGAAGTACTACATGAGGATGATTTTTACGCCATGCTTTGCGTTCTTCAGCAAGACGCCCTCGTGCAATGCCTCCTGACATTTCTTCAAATCCTGTTAAGATTTACTTTGAATTTAAGAACTGGATTATTGTACAAGATAACAGCACATGACCTTTTGTAATAATGAAAGGAACCAACAATCAAATATAGCAACAATGTCATAAAGAAATTGACAACAAATCATAAAATGCACAGAATAAATATAATCCAAATAAAAATAAAAAGTCATTAGAACCTTTTTATGTTTCATAAACAAATTAAACACCAATTTTAGCTTCATTACTTTTTCTCAACAATTAAACATAAGCTCCAACTTCATTACCAATTTTAATAAATTTAGCAAATGCAGCTTTTGCAAACCCCAAAACAAAAGATTTTGCAATGATCATGCTAGAAATATTTGGTATGTAAAATGTTTGAGTCTTTCGAACAATTTAAGCTTCCTTACTAGATTTCATTATAACTTCTTAAATTAAAAAGGGTAACATAAACATACATGTCAACAACAAATGGCGCACCACTGCGTAAAGTTCCGTGCGGAGCCATGGCGCGGGCCCTCGCCATTTTGAACACGGCACAAAATAAAAAATAATTATAAAAAACATTATATGGATCCTATTTTAGAGTATCAATCAAGTTAGGTAAGGCTTGGTTGAAAATATTTGTGGTCTAAAGTCCAAACCATTAAAGTGAGCTTCAAGTTCGTCCTAAATTTCTATTAAAAAAATCACTAAAATTATTTTAGATAAAATCTAACAACGTATAACTAAACTATTTTAATCATATCAAATAATTTTAAAATTAATTATTACATTATTTTAGAAATTAAAATATATAAATATTAAAAACTATTTATAACTACCATGCAGCTGGCGCCGTAGGTGACCCGCGTTGCACCGCATGAGCCATTTTGCGCCATTGACAAGTATGAACATAAGTGATTAAACAATCGCTCTTTCCTAATAGCATAACTATCACTTAATCAATATTAAACACTTGAAAGATACAAATATGGGGCCTACATTCCCATACTCTCTGAGCTACAACAATATGCTTGCTGATGAAACTTATCCCGTGCACAAAAAGTCTCCAAATATATAAAATGTTTTGTATAAAATGAAACAAATCAAGAAAACAATTTCAACCAACGAGAAATAAAAATAATGAAATTGTAGTTTTTTAGCCCATTTTTTCATTATATATATAAAGGAACTTTGAGTTTATTGAAAATTCTTCGTAAAAGGTCATATATTATCATCTAACCTCATAATCTATATCACATTTAGAAATTTAACAAAGGGTTTTATAAATTTAGCAAATGGTACATCATAAGTTACCATCACATCCAGCCATAACGTAAAACTAAAGCCTAATAATGCTAATGAAATAAACTTCCCACAATGAATACACTGTGGGTGGGCCCAAAATGCATCCTTTTAAATGAAATTTCTAAAGGTCAATAAATTTCATTATCATACACAAAATAGCAATTATTACTCTTTTCTAGAAGATCTTTCCTTAGTAACCTAAATTTTAGCATGCAATTGTTTCTTGCCTCTTCATCTCACAAAAAATCTCAAAAGTAGACTTCCTATTCACCCATGAAGCAATTCTTGAATAAAAAATCAATAAAACAAGCAAAGGAATCATCAACAAAATGTTTTAAGTATAATCTATGCAAGTATTTGTATTGGATAATAGCTCGACTCAGAAAAAAGCTATGTATCATAAAATCAATATAAACAATTAGGCCATAAAAATAAAAAGAAGAAAGTGAATCAGAATTGTGAACATGACGAATGCAACTTTGGAAATACTGCAAAATCCTAAACAAAAGATTGACTTAGATATGCAAGAATGTAGATGGATTGTGAAATAAAAGTAATCTCAGGTGGATATTTACCACAAATGAATAAATATTTTGTGCTCCAAAAAAATTTTCATGCTGACAGATTGTTGAGAGTGAATTGTTGCTCAATAGAACATGTCTATGCAATCAGCCTAGAATACTACTTCAAATTGCTGAGCACGAACACTCATGATAGCTCATTAAGATAGGGAAAAAAATAGGCAAAATCTAAGGGGATGCCAGTACAGTAGGTTTTTCCACTCTACCTCTTAGAAGAATTTAAGAAGACAACAGAAGATAATGGAATCTAGATGGAATAGGATCATAATTATAGATGGGTGCTTCAAGGATTTTGTTGGAAATTTGAACGATATGATGATTATTAGATTACATCAATCCCAATGATTGTGCAATAGTGGCCTTTTAGATGTACCTACGGGAGAAACTATAATTTTTTTAATGAACCCTTCAATCCATTCAGGGGAAACATTTATCACAATATGTGAACATGTAGCGAACAATATACCATGATTTGTCATTTGGTTGAAGGAGAGTGTGAATAAAATTGCCATGCGGTCCCTAAGAAACAAGCCATAATGACAATATTAAGGATACAAATACAAAAGCTGAGATCAAAGGACCCAATTTAATATATTGTACCTAAATTTACCTTAGAATAGCTGACCTAAATTAAACCCATCCAAACTTTTTTGCATTGGCTGCATTTCAATTTTCAAGTTTGGTTGATAAGTTGAGTAAGAGAAGGAGCAGAAGATCTTTCCCCAATAGCTATTAAAGCAATATGGTCAAGAGGCCCACTCTATTGATGGTGCCACAACAGAAAGATTGTCAGAAAGAGTGTCAACAATCAAGATTCAACTTATTAACAGATAAAAACAGGAGGGTCATTTCTATTAACAACAAATTTATACAATAGTCCCTTTTCTCTTATTTTTTTTTATTAGGGCTTTATGATTGTTTGTTTCTTTTTTCGTCTTTTAGTTTTATTTTCTTTTGTTTTATTTATTAATTACTTAAATAAGAGTAGAGTGGTAAATTGTGTCTATTGTAAAACTTGGGATCTATAAATACCTATCATTTTTTTTTAGAATGGGGAGTTTGATTGTTTTCATTTCAAATTCGTTACAGTGAATTTCATCTAAAGATTGAGAGGAGAGGAAGTGAGGGTTGTAGTGGAGTATAGGACTCCGCCAACATCAATATCCCATCGTCTTTCTTCTCTCTAAAGCTCTGCGTCTTCCCCACCAAAGCAGCCACCTTCTGTCCTTGGAAACTCGATCAACCACGACATACGTTGTGACCTGCAGGTTCATCCAACAATAGACAGGTTGCCATCACACACAGTTAAATGACTTGACATTGCAGCTGCATTGTGTCATCAAGAAAGCATCGCCTAGCCTAAATTCTACTTTTTCAGCGGCTAAGGATAACAAGAACCTGCTGCAGGCTTTCAAGCACTCACAAGCAGCAGCAAGAACTAGCATTTGGCCTTCTAGCAGCCTTTAATAGCATCAAGAACCTGCTGCTAGCCTTCCCTATTAACCCCATCAGCAAGAAAGATATCTGGGTAATCATTGAAACCCCTTCAAGTACTGGCAAAGTTTCTATGGATTCCAAAACAACTGCTAGCTGAGAATAATTAGCCTACCTGTTCTTGGCAGAAGGCAGCACTACTATCCAACAAAATTCTTTTCTCTAATTCTAATTCAGCCTTTGATTTAAAAAAATTTGTTCATTTGTTTGTAGGAAGTTTTGTAGGATTTGCAATTAGGAACTGTGGTTCTTGTCTTGTTGCTTGGTTGATGAGTCTTTAGTCTTTTTTTGTTTCTCGGTATCAAATTTTCTTTGTTGATTACTATGATTTTCCGCTGCTTCTTGTCTTTTTGTTTCTCATTGATGTCATATTTGTATTAGAGCCCTAGGTTAGAATGCCTCCTAGGAGAGACCAAACATATCAAAACTAAATGTTTGTGCCCTGAAATCCAACAACTACAAACTACATTAGCGACCTACGAACGACGTGATAGAGAAACTAGTTCGTTTCATTCGGATGACCACCACGACAACCGTGAAATGGAAAATCGTTTTCATCAAAGGTTTCAAGAATCATACAATGAAAATGAACCTTACCATAGAAGATAACTCATAAGATATCAAGATTTTTAGTGTAAAGAATTTAAGATAGACTTTCCGAATTTTAAGGGAGGATTAAATCCTGATGATTTTATGGATTGGTTGCACACGATAGAACATGTTTTTGAGTATAAAGAAATCCCGTTTGATCGTCATGCAAAATTAGTAGCCATTAAAATCAAGAAAAATGCCTCTCTAGTTGGAAAACCTTAAAAGAACAAATTAGAGAGGGTAAAAACTAAAATCCTCACATGGAAAAAAATTTGAAGAATTGCAAAAAAAATATCTACCATCTCAATTTAAGCAATACACTCCTTCCATTACTCATAAAATTTAACAGAAGAGGAGTATATTTCGGAATTTGAACAATTAATGTTAAAATGTGATATTGTCAAACCCGAAGAATATTCAATTGATCAAATTATAGGGGGTTTACGTCCTGCCATTGCCAATATCCTACAATTACACAGTATTGGACATTATCGGATGTCACAAAGCTAGCCATAAGAATTAAAGACAATAACTCCATACCAAACAATTTACTTTAGGCCCAAGACAAGATTTTTGTTGGGTTGGTACCAATGCAACCAAGAAAATTGAAAGAAGATGTCAAATAAAATTAGCAAGAGTGAATTCCATTTCATACTTTTCCCTTTGATAGGATGTAAAGGATAATCAGAATCTTGATGACATCCAGGTCATTGGATCTCTTTTTTTGGTTTGCTTCTTCATTAACAAGCCAATTCAAAGAGGAGTACTATTCAGGCCCTCAATGGCTAGCAAAATGATGCACCGAAATCTTTAAAAAAAATTTGTGAAACAGATTATTCTCATATCATTCGACCAAGGATTTTATCATTCCATCAAGGTTTATATCATTCCAACAAGGTTTTTGGCCAACTAAATTGCACCTGAAAAACATTTCTCTTGAAAGATCTTTGAGACAGACTTTATATAACAATGAAACATCCGAAATTACACAAAAAAAAAAAGCAATTGAACTCATGCCATGCTGAGAACCTTACGAGCATAACATTGTGAAATAGCGAGAAAACGAAATCTAGCAATGCCAAACACACCAAAACAACAACAGAAGTCCAGCTAGCCTATCCTTTTCCCTCCAAAACATCACCTTCATTCCCAATAAATAGCACGCAGTGAGATACAGGAACATACAGATTTTGTGCTTCAAAAAAACTTTCCAAAACCTAACAATGTCCCATTTTAAAAATTACTGTGAGCGGAAAACAAAGAACACGATGGAGATGGACGAGCTGATCAGATCATACCTGATAGAGAGAGAAAGGGAAACAGAGAGAACAAAAGCGGCCCTTCCAACTCAAGAAGGAGAACTGAAGCGACATGTATCGGTTATTCGAATCATTTAAGGGGGTGGCGAAGCTTACTCCCGAGGAGGAACGTCATTGCTGACCAGCTGATCTTGATCAAACGTAAAAGATGGCCTGAAATCCCGCGTAGGTTGCACGCTATCAAGCGGGTTGATTATTGACTTTGGGGCATCCAAAGTCAATTGGACCCACATACGTCACTTGGATTTGGTCCGTCCAAATATTTTTTTTTTTTACGAATTTGTTGAATAATTTTAAATATATTTTTTTTTAAATCATTTAACTTTATGTCTGTAGTGTAGAAGTTATATAATATAAAAAATTAGAATTGTTTAGATGAATGTATATTAAACATATAAGTAAAATAATTTTTTTTGTTTGACTTTATTCACTTGTAAGCTGCTATGAGCTCTGCTAGGGTTTCCTTACCCTAGTTTCCCCCCGCTGCCGCCTCAGTTTTCCTCCCACCACCGCGCGAGAAGGGGAGCTCCCCTCCCCTTTCCCTCTCTCTCCATGGCTTCTTCCTCTTATCTTGAGGATTTTCCACCTCTGCTAGGGGCTCTCCCCTCTCCTTCTCATTCTCATGCCCTCCCGGTTGGACTAAACTTCGTTTCCAACTTAACCAAAGAAGATCCGGTGGCTGGTGACTTCTCCCTCTTGTTCGTCCTGCCTGCTGCTAAGGTTCCTTTCTCCACAGACAATTTGGCTCTTGGAATCCCTGATTGGAGCTCCTCCCTCGTTGGATACTCTATCAGCCCCCGCCCAACATACCTCAGTCTTCTGAACACTGTGAAGAGAGCCTAGAATCCCAAAGGTGCAATCGAACTCCTTTCGTTAAACGATGGTTTCTTCCTCTTTAAATTCGCCTCCCCAGAAGATTACCAGGTCTCATAGACTGGCGGCCCATGGTTTTTCTTTGGCCGACCATTCATCCTGCTGAAGTGGACACCCAAGTTCAAACCAAAAAGAGATGAGTTTTCCTCTATACCTATTTGGATTAAGATTGCTGATTTGCCTTTAGCAGTTTGGAACCTGATGGGTATTTCCAAAATTGCAAGTTTTGTTGGTCACCCCCTTGCAATTGATGCTCTTACTACCCGGAAAACCAGACTGACCTTCGCTAGAGTTTGTGTTATGGTTTCTGGTACCTCCCCCCTCCCTGACGAAATTCTGATTTCACTTGATGGTGATGATGTCTCCCTAAAAGTTCTTTACGATAGGAAGCCTACACCTTGTATTGGTTGTGGTTCTATTGTCCACCCATCTTCCTTATGTCACATAAACCCTCAGCCAAAAAGCATTGTCCCTCCTTGTGGCAGAAGCTCCTCCCGGGCCAGGGCTTCTCGACCACCACTTCACAGGCCGCCACTCCCCTCTTCTAATCCTCCCCACATTTCTAATCATCCCCACACTTCTCCTTTAAACACAGTTAACCATCAACCTACACCCAATAACTCTTTCCCCCCTCCAACAGAACATCATCCCCATCAGGATCATCCCCCCCCCCCCAACCCACCTCCTCTCCTAATCGGTATGCTATTCTTCAGCCTGAAGAAGAACCGCCGGACGATGTTGCCTCTTCCTCCACTACTTCTAACCCAAAAAAAATCCATTAAGACTCCTATTATTCCACTCAACCAAATGGTCCCAAAGGCAAGAGTGTCAAGAAGACCTGATCATCCAAGTCCAAATGACCTTAAACCCTATTGGTTGCTGGAACGTTAGGGGCTTCAACTCCCCTGACAAAGTTCTAGCTTGCAAAAATCTAGTCTCTACTTTTCACCTAGACCTGCTGTGTATTTTGGAAGCTAAAATCTCTAATGCTTCTATGGCTGACTCCTGGTTCATTAATTCCCACATGGTTTTTCCTAATGAAGCTAGCTGCAACAATTTCTCCTACTCCTCTCCGGGCATAATTTGGTTGAAGTGGAACCTATCAACTATCTTCTTCAGCCCTTCTCTTATTGCCCCACAGATTATCCATGGGTCTCTTTCCCATGGCTCACTCCCCCCATCCTCCTTTCTGTTATATACACTGCCAACAACCCGTCTGACATAACCATTCTCTGGCAACAACTTCTGAATTTAGCTTCTTTGATATTTGTCCCTTGGGTTATTTTAGGGGACTTAAACTGTTGTAAGTCACCTAATGAAAAAGCTGGGGGAAGACCTCTCCTCCACAATCGTGTGGAGGAATTTAATAGTTGGATTTTTAATGCTGGTTTGCTTGAGCTCCCTACTACTGGTTTGCACTTTACTTGGTTTAACCAAAGAGCGGATGACCCAATCCATATTAAGTTGGACAGAGTGCTGGTTAATTCAGCTTGGCTTGAGCAATCTCCCAACTCCTTTTACAAAGTGGAAGGCCCTACTTGTTCAGACCATTCTCTCTTGGTGATCTTTCAAGGCAACCCCTCTAGGCCTTTCACTAGGTTCCAATTTAAGAATTATCTGCTCAATATGAACGGGTTTTGGGATGCTTTAATCTCTATTTTTGCTTCTCAATGTAATGGTAGCTCCATTTCGTGCCTTTACTCCAAGCTGCACTGTCTCAAGGATCTTATCAAAAAGAAGAAATGGTCTAATGCCTCTTTCTTTTCTAATAGGATTAAAGAACTTCAAGAATTCCAAAGCCTTTGTTATGCACAGATTCAGGATAATCCGTTGGATCAAAGCTTAAATGTGAACCTAACTAATTATGGATCACCCAAGAATGAAATACAGGAATTCCTACAACCACATAAAGTATCTCCATACTGATAAGGGGCATTTTTCCACCCATGATGAGGTTGCAAAGGCTGTTATTCACTATTTCCAAAAGCTCTATAATTCGGCTTCCCATGACACAACTGGGCTTCCTCCCATTCCCATCAGTTCTACTATCCCTCTCTCCCACACTGAACCCCTTATTGCTCCGATCTCTGATAAAGAGATTTATGATGTTGTTATGGTTGGTTCCTCTTCTAAGGCCCCAGGGCCTGATGGATACACCTTTGAGTTTTATAAATCAACCTTGAACATTATTGGTGGACAAGTCTTTAAAGCCATTAAGTATTTATTTGCCACTGGGGTTCTTCCAAACAATGTTAAAGCCACGGCCATTGCTTTGATTCCCAAGGGATCTCATGTTGCTATTATCTCTGATTACCGACCCATCTCTCTTTGCAATGTGTTCTATAAGATTGTTGCTAAAATTATATCTAACAAGATGAAGGAGGTCATGCCTTTTATTATTCATAAAAGCCAAGCTGGTTTTATTAAGCAAAGAATATCTACTGACAATATTGTCTTGGCTGCTGATATTCTTAGTGATTTCAACATTGTGGCTTATAAAAAAAAAATTGTGCCAAGTTAGACATCCGCAAAGCCTTCGATACTGTGTCCATGAATTCCTTCTTTCTCGGGTCATTCTTAAAGGCTTTCCCCCCATTTTTGTGAACTGGATAAAAGGGTGTATTGAAGGAGTTCATTCTTCTATTTGTATTAATGGAAAGCTTGAGGGGTTCTTCAATTATTCCTCTGGGCTTAGACAGGGTTGCCCCCTCTCCCCTTTACTGTTTTCTGTGGTGATGGACGCTTTCTCTTGTGAAATTGATGGCAGTAATTTTATTGGGATCTCTTGTTGTGGTTCTTCTGTGAACCACCTCCTTTATGCGGATGATATATTGGTTTTTGGGCAGACTTCCCTATCTAATGCTGAAGCTCTGAAAAACTCCCTCAGCTCCTTTGCCAATCAATCTAGTCTAAGGGTTAATAATGTCAAATGCTCTATTCTGTTTTCCCTTAACACTCCCCTGGCTGCTGATATCACATCCTTGCTTGGTTTCTCTTTCTCTGAGAACACCATCACCTATCTTGGCTTACCTATATCTACTAAAAAACTTAAAAAATACTCACTTCCAACCACTTATGAGTAAGCTTGCTACTCTACTTGCTGGTTGGAAAGTAAAATTTGTCTTTTGCAGGAAGGACACAATTTCTTAAGTTCACCATCATAAATACACTTGCTTATTGGATTCGAGGATCTATTTTACCTAAATCGATTTGTAAGATTATTGATAAGTTAAGTTCTAAGTTTCTTTTCCATGGTTCTACTTCGGAAAAGAAATTACATCTTGTGGCTTGGAGAAACACTTGTCTTCCTAAATAATATGGTGGCCTGGGATTACCTTCTATTGAGTCTCTTCAATTTGTTGTTGGGGTGTCTTTTTTCTCTGGAGATTCTTTAATTATGAATTACTGGTGGCTGACTGATTTAGAGACAAATTCTCCTCTCCTTAGAAACCCATTCATGTCAAGGCCTCTAAGTTCTGGAAACATATATCTTCTATTGCTTGTGAGATTAAAGGGGTTTTTATTTTCACATCTCATCTTATAACAGCAAACTTTCTATGCTCTGGGATCCCTGGTGCGCTGGTTTTGCGATCTCTGAGTTTTCCCAGCTTGATGTTTTCAATGCTTCTATGGTTATGGATTATATTTCTGGTGGGGCTTGGGATTTACCTGCCCAATTAGGCCCTTCCCTACTTAGCCATATCACTCAGGTTCAAATTCTGCAACATCCACATCATGTTGTCTCTTGGCCTGGGACTGCAAAACCCTTTTTTAAATCTTTTTATCTGAGGTATTATGAAAGTTTTGAAAAGGTTTCTTGGTTTAAATTTGTTTGGCATCCCCGTTTTGCTCTGAGGCACTCAGCTTATGTGTGGTTGGCTCTTCTTGGCGGTTTAAAAACAGCTTATATTTTGGCTAAAAGGGGAATTTTTATTCAGCCGGTATGCCCTCTGTGTAGGCTGGAGTTGGAAAGCATTTCTCATTGTTTTTTTCAATGCGCTTTTATGTTCTAAGTCCTCACCTATCTTCTTCCACTTCTCCAAAATTTTCTGCTTCCCCCTAACTTGCTACAGGTTTTCGATTTTATTGAGGGGAACTTGGAGCTTAAGAATTATGTGAATAATTTTTGTTATTTTGTGATTTGCTGCTCTGTGTATCATCTCTGGAGGGATAGGAATGCTACTCGGTTTACTTTTTCGAATGTCTCCAAAAACGTTTCAATTAGGAAGATTGCACATGCCATTTCTGCTAAGACCGTTAACTGGAAACACATTGAACTGCTTAATATGT